TATTTTCTGTTTGGACTATTCTTATGAAATTAAAGCCCGAAACTAATAAGCTTGATAGAAAGTTAAGTGACTACTTAACGGTGCTAAACAAAAAATGCTATTAATTTACGCTCAACTAGAGCATTTATGTTCGCTATTTAAATATTGATTTTTATTTAGACCTTAAACCAATTTATTGACTATTTATTTTTTTTTTTTTTTTTTTTTTTTAGTTTTTTTTTAAGTTAATTTCTTAAAGATTTTTTGCTTATATTTCTCACCTTCTTTTGCTCCTATTTCTTTCTCTTTTCTTGTTCGGATTTTGTGTGTATTCGAGTGAATGGTTCAGACCTCATTAAATCTTTATACACTGCTGCAAAGTGGGTATTAAAGTTTTGACAGAGATAAAGATAATGATTATATTTCATGGCAGCCTAAAGCTAATACTAATCTTGCTTTGAGTTATCTTAGCAGAAATTAAATTACAGCTGCGTTCATAAAAATAGTAGTTTAACTGAGCAATAAATGTTTGAAGTAGAAAATTAACGATAAGTCTCATCGTATATATTAATAATAATAAATAATATTGATTATAATATTCATTTCAATTTGTTTTCAAAATATATGAGTTTATCATTAATTTATTGTTGTCTAACTAACATTATTATTTATAACCGCGCCCTATATACATAATAATTATTATATTTTTATTTGTATTGTTTTAATAAATCAAAATTTCTTAGTGCATTGAAACTGTTCCCATTATTTTTTCTCTCTTATTCCATTCATTCTCTAATGTAAATTATGTCTTCTTTTGAAGCATGCAAAGCTTGTTGGCCGTATAACGGTACATGTAGATTGTAGTAGCTGGGTCTGGGAGGCTTCAGCGAGCAGCCGCCGAGTTAAATATGGGCTACATGTTATATGGTCAATGAGATAAGACACTTCACTTCACTTGAGCACCAACAGCCAGAGCCACCAGCCAGCCAGAGCATCAGCACTTGAAGTTTATGGCCGGGCTACTCACCCCACCAAGTGCCCCGCTATTACCTTTGCTACGTGTCTCAGTTAAATTGTAAAATCAACTTTTATGGCCTGTTTTTTTATACCCTGAACCCATTTTCAATGGGAAATCAGGGTATAATGGTTTTGTTGAAATGTATGTAACAGGGAGAAGGAGGCGTGGCAGACCCCACAAAGTATATATATTCTTGATCAGGGTGACGAGCTGAGTTGATTTGGCCCTGTCCGTCTGTCTGTCCGTCTGTCCGTCTGTCCGTCTGTCCGTATGTATGAACGCGTCGATTTCAGAAGATATAAGAGCTAGAGACTTCAATTTTTTTTAAAATGTCCGTAATTACAGCGCGCATATCAAGTTTATCATTAAAAATCGATAACTCATCCCGATCTTTTTATCGATAAAAAACCTTATCGAAACCCAGTTATAAAATTATATCTTCTACACCTTTATTGCTAGAGTCTCCAAATTTTTAATGTATGCTTATATGCAATTTATACAATTTCGGTTTTTGTTAAAATTTACCCCCCACCTCTAAATTCACCCCCTCACCCTCACTTTTGTAAAAAGCGTATTTCAAATACTAGAGACTTGTGCTTTGGCAGGTACATGCATATTCATGTTATAATCATAATCTAAAAGTTTCATGAAGATCGTACGTCCATAAAAAAAGTTATTAAACAATTAAGTTCTCATAGTAAGCGCACACTGCAGCCCATGCGTGTTTATGCGTGGTTGCTTGTATGTGTATGTGTGTGTGTGTGTGTGTGTGTGTATGCGTTTGTGTCTGTATGTGTGTGTGTGTGTATGTGTGTCTATATGCGTGTGTGTGTATGTTTACCTGTGTGTGCGTACGTGCGTGTGTGTGTGTGTGTGTGCGTGTTTCTTGTGTAAGCTGAAAGTCGCGAAAAAGTATTGAAATATCTATTGCTCCAAGGGTTCAGGGGATCTCGTAGTCGAGCAGTCTCGACTAGAGCTTTCTTACTTGTTTTTTTTTTGTTTTTTTTTTTTTTTTTTTTTTTGTGTTTTGGGCTTTTGCTGTAATTTTTTCTGGTCTATAGAAAATGGAATGACACGTTGTTGCTTTAGCGCATCAGCTTAGTTTACAGTTAGTTAATTAACGGTACTGAGAACGAAATTGGCTTGTTTTTTGTGAGTGTGCCGTGTGCACTGCAAGAAATTCTTGGTTACCATAAAATCTCTTTAGTATAACCCATGAATCAATTTTGCTGGTAGATAGAATCATACAAACGGTAATGAAGAAAAAATATATAAATATAAAAAGCCTTATATATATTAAAAAAAAAAAAAAAAAAAAACTAAAAATATATAAAAAATATTGTTTATAAAAGTATCTCATTCATTTTAATAAAACTTTAATTTTTATCCTTATTTATATTTAATTATATTTTTGTAATGCTGAACAATTAAATTATTTTTAATAACATTCTCATAGAGATTTTGTATTACTTGTTTAAATCACTATAATAAATGATTTAGGAATAATTTTATATAATTATTTTGGACAGTGTCAAATAATAAAACAAGTTAAAAAAAAAAATTAATGAAAAAATTAAAATTGAAGGGCTGCAGTAATAAAAAATAAAAAATTATTTATTTGTTTAATATTTTTGTTCACAATTTAATTTACACGAATTTTTATGATACTATTTGTGAGTTTTGTAATAATCTCATATAATTATTTTGAGCACTCTGGACAAAATAGGAAAAGTTTGTTAAATGAAAATGAACGGCCTGCAGTCAATAAAAATTAAACAGTTACTCTAAGTTTAAATGCAACGCAAGCATTAACACTGCTTGCCATAAGTATGCAGCCCAAATACAAATAAATTATGCATTGACTTCCCACCCCAAAAGCACACGTACAGTATATTTGAATAGGTGCTATATGAGCTGGAACTAGTCGCACTCGCACTCGGACTTCCTGCTCGATATCAATCACTACGCAAAGGTTCCCAGTTGACATTTACTTTTCAGCACTTGATCAAATTCAGTTGTTGCTGGAAACGTGACTCGACTGCTAACGGGCTTATTAAATTAGCCTGGTTATCAGGCGCCTTTTGTTGTTGTTGTTGTGGCCGTTATTATACTACTATACTTCATCTGGCTGCTCATAGAATTTTTATATTTATTATTATTGTTATTGTTGGTAGCAAAGAGTTGCCTCTAATTAGCTTTGGCTCCGGTTCACTTTTTACTGCCTTTATTTGTGGGCGAAGTGCGAAAAGATATCACTTCTAATTGTCTGTTGGCCTGGCTGTCTATCTGTCGCACTTATTTTGTCTTTTATTTTATTTCATTTTTCATTTACTTTTTTGTCAAGTGTCAGGCACTTAGATAATTTTGGCATTTTGTCGAAGAACCAGAGATAAGTGGAGAGTTTGCGCTTGGGCGTTTCATACTTATATTCCCTTGAGTTGTCGAAATTTTTGGCGAAAGTTTTCAATTAAATTTGAAGTGCATCTTAAAGTCTGTAGTCGAATACTAACGGAAGCCAAATCTTGAATTAGTTCAAATGATCTTCAGGTGCCATAGAACTAGTTGAAAAAAAAAAAAAACTAAAAATATTAAAGTGGAGTAAAAGTCAATTTATATATCAGCTGAACAGTAATTCTTTTGAATATGTAGAAAAACTTGCCATGTAGAAAAAATGATCTTTCTTTTTGTGATTGAACTAGTTGGATTCGGAATGCTGCAGATTTGTTGAAACCCACGCATAGTTTAGTTATTTAACCAGTTCTTCTTCAGTTCTTATTGGAACTTTAGATTTTAAGCTAGATCAAGAAATTTGGATTCATATTTCTGGCTATAACTAGTTCATAGTTATTCATTAGTTTAATTAGCTGAAAATTAGCATTAGCTAACTTATTCTTGATTTCATTTGCAATTTATTTCATAATTAAATAAATTAGCTTTTGTGAAATTCCGTAAAGCTTTCGCCTTACCTAGCTTTAATTGGAAGCAGTTCAATTGAATCAGTTCCGCTTACATCATTTACACTTGAAATGAATCAACTTCAGAGCAGGTGCGAAACATTTCTTATCATTTCCTGTACATTGCGGCAGTCCCCCGCCGATTTGCGGAAATTACCAGATACATGAACGTTTTCAATTTTGAACCACAACTTCAGACGTCAGAGGCGAGAACATTGCCAGATGTTTAGACGTCAGAAGTTTGAATGGATTGGAAAGTGCGTCATAGAGTGGCAGGCGTTAGCATTTGCACAGCACTGTTAATGAAGTGTTACCAATTGGAAGCCGGCTAGTGATATCGGCTAAATGAAGTTGGCCAAACAGATCGAGTCATCGAGTAATGGCCATGAATCATCATCGGGCGCATTCGCATCATTAACAGGTGCCCCAGAAAACGTTGACAACAATTTTTAGCATTTTTTTTTTTTTTTTTTTTTTTTGGGGGAGGGGGGAACCACTCAGCGCAGCAAGTCAACAAAAATTGAACCACTCAATCAGCACATTTGTGTTAATTCGTGATACGCGTGGCTTTTAACATGCATTCCACGCAAACCAATTTGATAGCGGATGACTGAACAGACGTTGTCCAATCTAAGCTATCTGGGATTTCAAAAGAAGTAGATATATATTCTTAGTCAACAACTAAAAGAGCTCTACCACATGCCTTTACGATAGTGTGAGAGAACGTCAATGAATCTAAAGATGAACAGATTCTTGCGGAACCCAAGTTCTTTTAGAGAAAGAATAACCTTGAGTTGAATACCTTTACTTCATCATCAGAAAAATGTTCTCAAAGTGTGTTATCTGTTAGTAATCTACGAAAATTTTTCATTTTTCTACAAACAACTGAATATTGCATGATAACAAACGAAAACTTTCATAGTTATCGCTTGCTTAACCCAAAGCTTATTTACTAAAAATAACTAAAGTGTGGAGCTGAGGAAAGAACAATATATGCACCAATGCTCGTATAGATGCTCATTGGATAGACTAAAACTAGAAGATACCCATTCAAGTACCAAAATATTTATTTATTCGTGCAGCATAATAATGAATGTTTCAAAATAGACAAATTCCATACCTCTACAACTTCTAAAAATGTTGAGCTAATGGAAGAGTAAAGTCATATATATAGGGTATCATCTAGTTGAAGAATCAGTGGCATTATCTATCGCCTGCTGTGCTTGTTGCTGTTTGCCATCTCCTTGATATCACACACGTTCTCTGACACAGCAGATTCCTTTTATCAGTGGCCAGAAATCTGCGCAAACAACAAATATTTACGAAGCTTACAGATATAATATTGTATATAAAGCCGTCGACTATACATATATGCTCGCCTGCTCATATATCTTATCTATTGTGACATTTGAACGACGCACTGAAACGCAGTTAATGTAGAGTTAAATACGATTCACAAACCTTCCAATTTTGATTTCGATTTCAATTTCAATTCGCCATTCCCATTCGCCGCATTCCCATTCAGATTCAGTCGTCGACTGAATCGCACTTCCAAATATGACATTTCCCCGTCAGGGTTGCCATTTGGCATGCAGCAAGTGTTGCCAAACCAACGCCCATGCCAACCAAGGAAACATTTATTATACCGACATGCTCAACTTTTAATTTTATGTGCCAAACAATTACCAAAAATAAAACATATAAAAACAAAGAGTCACAAGCACATGCGAAAATAACAACATTGTAATTCAGGTCTGAAGACTAATGCTCTATCTAGTATGAGGTAAATATAATTTTCTATGATAATAATTCTAGATGATTTGGGTGTAATGTATTACATGTACTACATATATTATACTCAATCAATCTTGAATTATTTTAAAATTAGCTTTTAAGCAAAGGTTGCTTTTCCTATTGAATAAAATGTAAGATAAATTTAATCTTGAACTTGTATTTATTATAATAAATATTGATTCTATAATGTAGTCACACACACAGTAATTTTTTCCACCTGAAATGGAAATTAATTCGAAATTCGAAATTAATAGTTGAATCAACCATTAGGGATCTCATTATTTATATTTATTTATTTCCTAATGTTCATTATTTATTGTTCACTAATACATATTTTGATTGATCAATTTCCATTATTTATTATTCATTTTTAATTACTCATTATTCATTGTTCATTGCTCCTCTGCTATGTCAAACTGTTTATACAATTCGAATGTCATTTCGAATTTAGTTAGGGTATTCGCAAATATTAAAATGCCGGTCATGGGATGCGAATATTTCGGTTGATTGATTTGTTGCTCGCTTGGCTCTCTGTATGTCTGTATGTCAGCGTGAGCAACGCCTTGACCAAGCGACGCTTCTCTTCGATTCTCACATCAGTCTTGTCAGGCTGAGCCGCCTCCGCCGTCGTCAACGCCCACTGGTTAAAGGCTCACCTAGATTTTGGTTTTATGAATTTCATTAATGTTGCGGATTGTCGAATTCGACATCGAATTCGAATGTTTACCCAAATGCAACCATTGCTGATCGCTATTTCGGGTACGTGTTTAGCTATTGTTATTATGATTATAGTTGTTATGATTAATAATTTCATTGATTGCGCGTTTTATTGCATGTTTCTTTTGACGGCTTTCTCTATTTTATTATTTACTTTTTCGGGGGAATTTCGGCATGAAAAAATTATTGTTTACTACGTGATAGGCATTGCGTATGTTATAAATTTTTTTCTTTTAGCTTGACTATTTTTTTTTTAATTAAAAAAAAAAAAAAAAAAAAATCACGAAATTATAATGACAAATTACATTTGAAGTAGAGTTATCAGGAAGTAGAGTGTTAAGTAGAGTTATCAGGAAGCTTCGTGCATTAAAAACTATGTATATACTCTTATAGCTTATAACTTGATAATAATAAATAAATACAAAATTAATAGAAAATAATATCAGAAGATGATTGTATATTATTTTGGTCATGCAATTTACAGTTTTACCTGTATAAAATATATTAATCCTATATTGAAATTCATTATACATAGAAAATATATTATAGGAAATCCAATAGAAGAATTTACGCATCAATTGATTTCTTATAGATATCCCAATGAGTGTACTTCAGAAGGTCGAAGATATGCTCCATATATGTAATATACATTTATTATTATATTTGTCTAAAATAATATTATTAAATAAATCAAATAGAAATTGAATAAACTTTCAGTTAGCATTAATTTAAATCCGCTCACAGCTTAAACCGGTTGTCTCATGCACATGCGTTTGGGCATACATACAAATACAAATACATATATATATATATAAGTATATACTATCTACTATCTACTAATTATACACTTGCATATTTGCAGTTGTCTAATGTACACGATTTGCGGTTAACGACACAACTCCGCCTCTTCTCACTCCCCTTCTCCGTTCTCTCTTTCCGTGAGCTCGATCTCTATTGTGACACTTTCTTACCTAATGTAGTTATTTGTTAAGTATTTACCCTGTAAATGGGTGAATAGGGTATAGGGTATGCCTGAAACAGAATAGTATAGAGTAGAGAAAAGAGAGTAGAGAGTAGAGAGTAGGGAGTAGAGAGTAGAGATTAGAGAGTAGAGAGTAGAGAGTGAGAGAGAGAGTAGAGAGTAGAGAGTAGAGTAGAGAGTGAGAGAGAGAGAGAGAGTAGAGAGTAGAGAGTAGAGAGTAGAGAGTAGAGAGTAGAGAGAGGAGAGAGGAGAGAGCAGAGAGAGAGAGAGAGAGAGCAGAGAGTAGAGAGTAGAGAGTAGAGAGAGAGAGAGTAGAGAGTAGAGAGTAGAGAGGAGGTAGAGAGTAGAGAGAGAGAGTAGAGAGTAGAGAGTAGAGAGTAGAGAGTAGAGAGTAGAGAGTAGAGAGTAGAGAGTAGAGAGTAGAGAGTAGAGAGTAGAGAGAGAGAGAGAGAGTAGAGAGTGAGAGTGAGAGAGTAGAGAGTGAGAGAGAGAGAGAGAGAGAGTAGAGAGTAGAGAGTAGAGAGTATAGAGTGTAGTTTATAGAGTATAGAGTAGAGAGAGAGAGAGAGACAATTTAAGGTATATACTAGTCCATCACGTTCAACTCCAATATGTTTCTAATTTGTGGTTGTTGTTGTTATCGATGGTTTTTCTCGCATCTGCCAACTGCAATTTGTTTGTTATTGTCTAGGGGCATTGTGCAGCAAGTAATTGTATGGGCGATGCGATTGCAAACAATCTGCGCAGTTGAAATAATCATAGACCAAGCGATTCCCTGTACACAGACACACGCACACATATATACATATATGCATGTATACATGGCTATAGATGTGTATGTATGTATAGCAAATCTGACCTGCCTCGACTATGTTAATCAATGATCACTTTGATCGACACATTCGATAATTGGGCGCCGCATTAAATGATTCGATTTGAATTTAATCAAAATATCAAGAATCAATTACAACAATTGCAACAATAACAATAGCCGCAATAACAATAATAATTAGTGTCTGATGATCGCGTCGCATGTGGCGGCTATTTGCACACATTTTTTGCTGCCTATTAATTAGTGTTAGTTTTTTTCCTTCTCTTTACTGCATTGTGCACTTTTTGCTTATCAACAAATGCAATCAAAACGTGCAGCCAAAAGGGCAATAAACAATTCCAACTCTAATAATAATAATTTTTCTTAATACTCTTAGAAGAGAGTATTGTTTTCTATTTTGTTTTATATGGCTCATAAAGTTAACGTGATAAGACGATTATTTTATTAATATTGTCTGTCAAATAAAATAAATATGCATTAACAAAAATTCACAAACCTATACAATATCCGTTAGTTATTAACAAACATCTCTGACGTAAATAAAGTTTGAAGCCGGATTCGAACCGGAGCCAACTTGTTCGTCAGGCTTATGCCTTGCCGGCACGCCAACGTGCTTAAAGTGCATTAGGAATGACATGTGGATCATGTGGATGGTGTTGCTTCTTATCATCCACATTAGCCACACATCATTTAATTTGTTAATGAGAGAGGAGAAGAGACGACGGCGGCATATACAACGGAACCATTGGAAAGGAAATGTGTAATTTCATTTTCAAGTAACGGAAAATTGAAGATTAATTAGATGAGAAAGAGACAGTAAGTAAAGAGGAAAAGCGACACAGAATTAGAGCTTAATAAACCTAAATTGTCAATTATAAATAAAAATAATTAATTAATAAAATGCATTATTTAACTATATTTCTTGAATAAATGAGTTAAGTAAAGAGTATACAATTGTCGACCTTGTCGATCAAATATTTTGTTGTCAGGTTTTTAAACCACATTTTTTATTTGATTTTTGTTTTTTTATTTGTTTCTAATTAGTTTCTTTTAATTAAGTTTAATTGAATTCGGCTGGTTTGCTTTGTTGTTGTAAGTGTTTCGCATTGTTTACTTTTGCCTGACTTTTTATATACATTCAGACATTCAGACATACATATGTATATATATATATACATATATATACATTTTTTAAGCGCCGCCGCCGGCAACAACGGCTCCTAAGCACAATCAGTGCCCACGCCTAGGAGTAAAAACAAAATAGAAGAAAGAAATAAATACATAAATACTTGGCCCAGTTCATTGACTTTGCCGCGCATTTGAGGGGCGCTATTTGACTTTGAGTGGACATCGATTGAAATGCGCGCGCAACAATTGTCAGATAAAACGAAATCTATATGCACACACATTTATACATATAGACATACATAAACATATGTATGTTGTCAAGGTCGTTGGCGTGGCTGATAACACGCTGAAACAAGAGGAAGAGCAAAGCAAATGCTGATAAGAGCAACAGCAACAGCAGCAGCAACCATTCTCAATTGATTTTCTTATACATATATAGAAGAATCGAGCAACGAGTCCAAAGAGTGTAGTCATATATTTCTATATACATATAGATGGATATAGATATAGATATATATGCTATATATTCCTAGTTTCGTCAATCGACTTGATATTATTTGAGAATTTTTGTTGAGTCGTAATTTTCATTCAATCAAGAATTTCATTCAAAAATCACGAGACGAAAAAGTATAAGTAAATTTGTTGCTTTAGTTTTATGTTGCCTTCGAATTGCTTGATTGACATGCATAAACATAGCTACTTATATATATATATATATATATATATATATATATATATATATATATATATATATATATATATATATATATATATATATATATATATATATATATATATTCATGTCTGTATATATTTGATTCCCAAAAGTTTTCTTGTGAATCATTCAATTTCGCGTCAATTTTTGGCTTTGTATAAATAGGTTTTCTCAAGAAAGCCATTTAAGATGTAGTCTATGGTTTATTTCCGAAAACTATTTCCAAAACTTTTGTAAAGTTTTGTATATGTGAAATTTGTGAATTCTTTTAAAACTAGTTGGATAAAATTTTAGGAATTACAATATAATCTGACATCAAAATTCATGAATCAAATATATTTTTCAAAACTTTGCTTCCTAATTGTTTTTGATTCTTAGGAAATTTGTATTTGAAATATATTATTTATTATTATAATTATTTTTTTTTTTTTTTCTATTTTGCAATCTGTCATAATTTTATATAGGTATACTACACTATATATATACAAAACTGTAAACACAGGAAGTCTGATACATAAATATTAATTCCATGCTCCACTTAAGTGCTCTTTAAAAATTCCGTTTGATAAGCCTTTTTGAATCAATTTGATACCTTTTGGTATCAATTTTATTAGATTAAACAACTCAACTAATCAAATACCTCAGAGCTCTTACTATCGAATTATGTATACACATATGATTGGTTTTATTAAGGGCAAACTTTTTGGCACATATTCTTCCAATTTCTGCTTATAAACTTTGTTAGTCACCTTCTCCTTCTTCTTCTTCTTCTACTACTACTTCAATTTGGCCTAATGATGTTTTGTCCGACACCATTAATCAGCGCTGTCATTCATAATTTTTCATTCGATTATATTTTGCTGGGGTTTTTTCCTCTCTTTGAAGCTGGTGTCTGGCGGATGTGCCTTGGCATATTTTGCGGATATATGTACATATACATATACAATAGATTGGGTTCAATGTTATCGGCAAAGTTTTGGCATAAAACATTTTATTGCATAATGCCCTGAATATGATTCAATCAATCAATAGAAATTATGAAATCAATTGCCCCAATATGACTGTGCGGTTTATAGTAATTTAATGAAGTATTAATCTAGATACACATATTTATTTATTTATCTTCCTTAATTTTACAGATATCGGCATTAAGGAATCTATATAGCAACATGGCTTCATCACCAAACCAAGCTGCACCTCCAGTTTTATGGCGAGCTCGTCGCAAGATTGGTAAGTAATAGTACATGAATTAACTCGAGTTGCTGAACTAGTTCTCAGAGCGGAACTAGTGCAGACTGTACAAAATTTATTAAGCATATGTTTTTAAGTTTACATGAGTTGCAGTTTTAACTGTGGGACGCATTTTTTTTCAAACCTGTAATTGATGAACTAGTTCCATTTTCGGAACTATGTGAAAGTCTTCAAAATTGGTTATATATTAAAGTAATTTGTATGCTTAAATTTGAATTCAGCCCCGATACTAGAACTAGTACCAGTTGTTGAACTAGTTCAAGGTTACTAAAGTAGTTAATAAGTTATTTACACTAGCTACATTACTGTTGTAATTGAGCTAGTTCAAATTTCAGAACTTTTATAATACTGCACTAAAATGTTGCTTAAGACAGTCCCTCAAAAGTTTGCCTGAACTGTCTTTAAGGAACTATCCCAAAGACAGTTTCCAGCTGAAAGTTCAAAGTTCACAAAAGAAGTTCATTCGCCATGTTTTTGCTGATCTTTGATTTGCAGCATGGTTAATCATTCAATTTGCCAACGTTGTCTCAATTCAAGCTGCGTAGACATCAGCTCAGAACGTGTCGTAAATGGCGCCTGTTGCTCTTTGCCTTTTTATACCCTGTATAAGAAGCGCAGGTGGGGAGTTTTGTATTTGTGTGTGACAAAAAAGAAAATTAAAAACTATAAAAAATTATTTAAACATACTTGAAATAAATATAGTATAAGAATGAAAATTGTAATTTAGGAATGTAATTTATGATATGTGCAAATACTCTGTATGTATATACTATGTATGGCTTGATCATACATATATATCAATCATTTCTTTACATTTAAATCAGTCACTGTGTAATCCCATTCAGTAATCAAAAACTTATTTACAGGGTATCTCATAGTCATCTATGCACTAGTTCAGCTGCGCTCTTGGTCATTTTCGCAGTCATTAGCGTTTGTCAGATAAAATATTAATGAGCACTCACTGAATTTTAAATGTCGCTCAGTGGCAAAAACGCCGGGATAAACTTGGCTGCCAGATAATGGGCTTTGATTTAGTGGGGAAACACCCCACTTAAGTGGCTATACGAAAAAAGAAAAGGAAAAAGGAAAGGAAAAAGTGTTGCTTACTTTGTAAAGCTGCAACAGAATTGGCAATAAACTCTTTGTAGCATTTAACACCATCGAAAGCCTTTAAGTTCTTTGATGGGATAAAATGCTAACAGATTTTTGTTGACATCAACTCTCCATTCAGTCTATTGACATAAAAATGTAGAAAGCTAATCATTGGCTTCAGTGGTAATACTATCTACTACCTATTTATTTACTAACAGTATTCGAATATTGGAATATTATCTACTACTTTTCAACGACTGCCTTTTAGTTATACTACAGTTTGATAAATACTACTACTACAGTTTTGATAGCTACTACAATTTTTGTAATACTACTACTATGACAGCTACTACTGCCATGACTACTCTTACTCTTACTATTACTATTACTACTACTACTATTTACAACAAGCTTCTTCTCACTTCTACTACCACTAGGCTATACTATTTATCACGACTTTTAGATTCTGCTACTCTTTTCTTCTAGCTTCTGCTACTATTTACTATTATTAGCACTTACTACTATTTACTACTACTTCTGGCGTTGACTACTATTACTAGCTTCTCTAGCTCTACCGTCTACTACCATTGACTATAGTTTCCACTGGTATTTAGTGCAACTATTTCTTACTGCAATCTACTAATACCGGACTCTACTACCAACTACTACTGCTTGTAATACTATCTGTTACTATTATCTCCTTCTACCACATTCTACTACTTTTCCTACTACTTTCTACTGATTCTAGTTTTTTTCTGCTGTCTGCTTCTAATATTACTCTATCGCATAATAATACAACCAACTTTGACTATTCCTAGTACTACAACGACTATCTACTTGGTATAATATCAGATTTACAATGTGTAAACCCTTTGGTTACATTAAAATTTACTTCTCAGCCCACTCATGAATAACCAAGTTTGTTCAAATAATAACAAAAGTTTCCTCTTCTTGCAAAATTCAGCATTATAATTGGAATCTGAATACATTTGGCAATAGCAACGCCAGGTTGCCACAAATTGTGGCCAAAAATTATTCGTTGGCTTAGTTGCAGCGCTTGACTGCATTTCCAATTTCCCAATTTGATGCCAATTGGGACAGGCAGACAGTCAGACAGACAGATATCTGTGCGGCTGGGCGTAAAGTGTGGCCAAAATAGCCAAAAAGTTGAAATGCCTGCGAAAACCATGGAAATTTTGCCAATCAATGGCAATTCGAGATGAGCCAAAACATTTAGCCCGGCCTAGAGCTGAAGACCACAAATGCGTGTGTAAAGCGTAAGGGTAAGAAGAGAGGGTTATGCGGGGCTAGGGCTTGGGTGTGAGACACTCAAAACTTGTGCGCGCAACAATCACATAAAGTTTTAATTAATTTCCAACAAGCGAACAGCAAAGACAAACAAACAAAACTAAACGCAGCTAAAAGCCAACTTTATGCGAAATTTATAGCTAAGAGCCAAGGGGGATACAATGAAGCGCGGCTCAAGTGGATGAAAGCATGTGGCACGCTTTGTCAACACAGTTTGTCAGCAGCGGAAACGCTGCTGTCACGTTTCAGACGGTTGCCAGCATTTCCGTTTCCGACTCACGCACACAATCCAAAACACTCTCACATACGCAGAGAGGCAAACAAAGCTTGAGTGAGACCAGCCCAAATAAATATTGCCGGCAAATTGGCATTGAGCAAAAAAAAAAAAAAAACTTAAGTGGCATCCACAAAAAAATAAGTAAATACTATGCTCATTGCCATTTGCACTCGAGCAGAACTTCACTCAATACCCGCACATTGTAAGCTTGCAAAAGCTCATTTTGCTATAGCAAACACAAAGCTAACGCAAAGCTTGCAACAGCTGGTTGTCGCTTTTGAGTGTTTCTTGTTTACAGTTTGCGCTCAAACTCAAAGCCGGTTTCGGCTGCGCTCGTTATAGCTGTCTTTGTTGCGCTTGCATACATATACAAATTTCTTGACGATATTTTCCATTCCAAAACTGTTCTTGTTGTTGTTTGGCTGGCTTACTAACGGTGCATTCGTGCTCTTTGAGTCATACGCATGCTTTGCCTTTGTTCTGCAAAAAAAAAAAAAAAAAAAAAAAAAAAAAAAAACAAAACATAAAAGAACAGGAATTAGAGGTAAGGCAAAAACAGCTGCTCAGCAGTAATTGATGCATTGATAACAAGATTTTAGGCATTTTTTAGTATATTATTTATTATATTAAATAAGTTAAATAGAATATCGGTATAAAATACCTACACATCTGATTATTAAAAATATGAGAAACAGAAATTGTCAACCATAAATGGAAAATTTTAATACAAACTTCTTCACCATTGAAAGAAAGCAAAGTAGTAAGTTTTTGTTTATCTGGCAACCTGTTGCGTCTAGTCAGTAGCCACTGTTACTCCAAAAAGCTGCCAGATTGGAGATAGGCAGACAAAATGTGCTTATTTTCGATTTACGACTTATATGCCTCTCTATCTGCAGTCAGAGAGCGGCAATCAATTACGGCCATGGTCATATTAGTACCAACAGCAACAGCAACAACAATAGCGATTGCCCATTTCCCAGGTCACCAACACACAGAGACAGAGAATGAGAGAGATATATTGAGACTGATAAGAAATCTGGCAACACCAAAGCAAAATTAACGCTATCAACTGTTAAATGTGAATGTAAATGTGAATGCGAATGCAACTGAAAAGGCGAGTAAAAACTACAAAAGACAACAAACTACATAACACGCGCACACATAGACACACTTATATGGCGTGCTATTATGTAGGAAGAGCGCACGCGATAGAGACTAAGAGAGCGCGGCCAGCTGAAATTCATTAATTGCTCGCCTTAACAATGTAAATAATACGCAAAGCCAAAAGCGAACAAAATCAAGTGCTCAATGTTCTTTGAGCGTTTTGCTTTGTTTATTTTAGGCGAATTCGCCGCGCAGCGCAGTCGTCGCCGCCGCTGCCGTTCGTTGCGATTGTGACTGGCACCGTAATTTTGAGCACAACTCGTTTTTAGTATCTCACAGATATTCGACGTGTTTGGTTGGCGCGACTGCAAAAGCGGCCCGAGAAAAGTGATTTGAAATAAAAGAATAAATAATAAAGAAAGAAAATTTAATAAAAACAAAAAACTTTAATGATATAACAATTTAACAAATTAAGAGTGTAAATGATTCAAATCTTTTCGGGCAGAGTTTTGTAGAAAAAACCTCGAATTCATTGCGTAAAGTAAATGCAAGATGCGCGCGTCGTTTTTTTTGTCCGTTTTTTTCGTTTTGTTCTTCGCTAAAGCAAATCTAAAATAAATAAAAAAAAAAAAAAAAAAAACAACTAAAACGTAAGCGATCAACGGTCGCGTGCTCATTCTGCTTCTTTCGTTTTGGCAAGTGTGCGTGCGTGCGTGTGTTGGTGTGTGTAAGGAGGTGTGAAAATATCTACAAATCTATCTATCTTCGCGGCTGCGTATAATCAAATAATAGGCGCAAAATTATGCACAAGAAGAAAAAGAAATATTCGGCAAGCCGCTAAAAATAAATGCAAATAGCGAATAGAGTGTGAGCAAGTGCAAAAAGTTACAGCAATAACAAAAGAAAGAAAGAAAGAAAAAAGAGTGTCCAAAGCGGAATGCAATTGTGAGTTTGAGCTGAAAATTGGAGTGCAGCGAGTCGAGAAAAAAGCTCGACTCTGAGCGCTCTCTTCTACTTCGCTTTGCTACAGCTGATCAGCTGCTGCTAATAAAATTCGCCGCCTGCTCGTCATCATCGCAGAGCGTTGCCAGTTAGTTCGTTTTTTCCCTCTTAATTATTATCTCTTGACTTATTTATTACATTTATAAGAATGAAAAAAGAACGGCACAATTTAACTTGATTGCATGCAATATTATTTAATGCATCACATATATACGTTTTTAATATCTGCTGCCGATTTTACGACGTCACTGCCTTTGTTTTCACACACAGAGCATTATAAATTGTTATTATTTATGTTTGTTTATGGTACGGCGCAGAACATAATTTTTTTTGTATGAAGTGCGTCGTTTTTTAAAGGTTTTCTTGTATGCACAGAGCGCGAGCGATGGAAAGAGGAAGAGCGAGAGAATGAGGTAGAGATAGAGAACGCAAGGTTGACACACTGAGTGGAAGAGAGCCAGTTTGAGGGCAAGAGAGTGCGCAAAGAACAAACGATAAGCTGTCCGAGCAGCAGCAGCAACAGCAGCAGCAGCCAACGCACAGGCAGCATTTGCTCCCCACACTCCTCTCCTTGGCTCAACACTTCCGCCCACAAAAAAGCTTGCAGACAGGTGTGCGGGGTCGTTCGCAGTTCAGTTGTCGCATTGTTGTCTCAATTGTTGTTGCTCTTTTAACCAGTGCGCTCCTCTCACTCTCACACATGAACGCAAACTTTAGTAGCTGTACCTTAAGCTCGCATGAATGTGTGTGTGTGCGTGCTTCGTGTTTTACATGCTTGTAACGGAAATGATTTTGTCGTACTTTTGTGTGCGCTCCCTTTGCAAGCTCCTCCTCTGAATGTTAAGTTTTCTTTTTTAAATTTCCGCTTTGTGTGCTTCCTTTCGCCAAAGCTAGAGTGAGAAAGATAGATTCTTTGAGCACACATTGAAGTTGTATAAAAATGCTTTGGAATATAAGGGTAATTTTTAAAAACAGGTAATTAGCACTATTTATCTATAATATCCTAATCATCGTGAGTATTATATTATATAAACAAATACTATGTCTAAAAGTAGTAAAATTACATTATTTAGATAGTACTTTGTTCGTTAATTGAAATTCACACCTTTTCGCTGTCTGGGACTGAGCCCTAATTAAGCGACCTCCGTGGTTGTTTTATTTATGATTGTCATTATCACTAGGAATTACCATTGTTATCCGGCTAAATCTAGACATTACTCACACAGTTTGTCCTATCAGTATTTATACAAAACCAAATATAATTCTCTAGATGCTGATAACGTTGGTTTTTTCTCCTTTCCCTTTCCCCTTTCAGCATTGGCATACGCCACGCGTCGCGCTATCAGTTCAGAAAACAATTTTTCCATAAATTAATGCCGTCACTTGGCCAAAGTTGTTATTGTGCATTGGACCGGGTTAAAAGTGTGGTGAAAAGTGTCAAGTGGTCAAGCGTCGGCATTGTTATATGCATGATTCTACGAAATACAAGTGAATTTTATTTTATTTTAATTTTGAGTTTTTATTTTATAATAAGTTTTGAGAGACAAATTTTAAGAAAAATGATCGAAAGATTTTGTATCTTTGTTTTTAAGATTTAAAAGCTATTGTATATATCTCTCATTCGTTTGATCGCAAGAAGGAGCTAGAAACTCTCTTCTCATCTCTTTCACTCGTCATCTTCATTGTAACTGGCCGTTGGCTTCTATTTCAAGCTGCCTTGACTACATTGAAGCCACAAACCCGAGAGTGCCTTAACCATTAACGAGAGATACAGCTGGTGAAATACAGGGGAATGGGAAGGGGACAGCGGGCCACACAATACAAAAGATATTGCAAAAGATCGAAGCGAGTCGATTGCTTGGCAACTTACATATATGGTAATTATAGCTGGATTATTATTGTGCGCCTTAAACAGAAGGTGCTACGAGAGATAGCAGAAGCTCGATGTTAAGGGGGAGCTGTCTGCAGGGGGCCTATGCTAGAGATGGAACTGCGAGGTATGCCTCCTGTCTTTCGAGTGGATTTTGAGCATTTACAACTTGTTTGCCTCGTTTATGTGGGTTAACAGTTCTTGAGCGAATTCCAAATGGAAATCCTCCAATGGCCCAGCCCCCTCTCTCTCTTTCTCTGTCTCTCTCTCTCTCTCATTTTCTATGTTGCTGTCGCTGTCTCATTTTCTCTCGCTCTTCAACAACTTTAGTTTAATTTATGCTCAATTCCTTTGACGTCAACGTGGATGGCGTTTGTTTTTGTTTTGGTGGAAGAATCTTTGACATTATCGCAATGATAACTAAGTATCATATGATTAGTTTTTTCTTTTTCTTTTTTTCAGCTTTTGTTTATTATTTTTGCCTAATTGGGTTTCTGCGTTCTATGTTAATGGGCTTGAACTTTTGATTCTGTAGTCAACTGTGTTTTTGTTTGAAGCCTTTTATGATGTTTTATTTCGCGTTTCGTTTCACTGTATTTTGCCTGAACAGCTGTCGTTGGCATTTTTGCGGGCTGGCACGTGTCGACGTTTTGTTTAGGTTGTTAACATTTTAAATTTGCATCTTATTTATGGCGCGAGATGTATATTGAATGAGAAAGAGATGTATAAAGGAATTGCAAAAACTTGCATTGCCAAAAAAAAATAAATAAATAAATAAAAATAAAAAACGCAAAAATTTAATTTATTTATTTAAATTAAAAACAGCTTAAATATCCCATGAAAATGTTGCGGCTTATCATAAAAGGTATTTGATTGTTAGCAAAAAAATAATTAAAACGTCATAAAAGTCACCTTCAATTGCCAAATCAACTTTTCAAAAGTCTGATTTATGAGACAAGTCTTTGATATTGCGATATTCAATAGGATCCTCTAGAGATAAGATAATAAAAATTGGTATGTGTATATATACTAATATTATTAGTGTATATACCAGGAAACTTAAGTATAGGTTATAAAAAAGAAAAAGTGTAAAACACAATTGAAATATCTGAAGATATATTAGAGATAGAGTTATGAAATTTTGTGTGTGTATAAATACTATTTTAAATAAATAGAAAAATTATAGAAAATTCATAGGCGATAATTCAATATAAAAGGAAACTATTTGCTACATATGTATATAAAATATCATAAGAAATGCTTCACATCCAAATATAGAGACATATTTCAAAGAACTTTGTCCGTCAACAAATGATTTGGTCATTAAAGAGCCAGAACTCAAAAGTAAAACAGTTTGAATGAATTTTTTTTTTTTTCGCAGGTATAAATTCAGACTTCTATTTTATTTATGTCTCTCATATGATACAATCATATGATGTGCTTATGCCTGGCATCTTTTCAACATTGCTTTTTATCTTACACAATTATAAGCAAATTATAATTTGTATATATATATACATAAGTACATATAATATATGTTATATATACAAATTTATATATATTCGGATAGGCAGTTCGATGGCCCAAGGTTGGTCTGAAAAATAAACACAGCTACAATGAAACATGTAAACATATGTAGAATTTCTAGAAATATATTTATATATGAATATACATACGTAAGTTATATGCCATTCACTGATCTCTGCCATCAAAATTCTATTAATTGCTCTGACTCAGATTTTTGCTTTAATAACTTTAGCTTTGCAATTTTTCTAAACTTTTATTAATTACTTTGAATTACTGAGAATTTTTTGCTATATGTAGATATACATATATATAGTATATATACATCTATTTCGTCCAAAATGCAATCGCCTTCATTTGGGGATCTTTGGGGGCCTGCTCCGTGAATCATTTGAAAGGCATTTTCTTGGTTGGAGGCGACGAAACTTGCGTCATAAATCGAACTGCAAGAACAAAATGTGTGCCAAACGAAACATAAAATAAAGCAAAAGTGAGAAATGAGAAATATTGAACGACTTGCAAATGCGCTGTAAAAAAATTAAATGAATATTAATTTGAATATACATAAAAGTTAACAAACAAAACATTCTAAAAGAAAGCTAACGAATAAAATTGATAGTTAGCACGATATACCCGGTTAAATAACAATGTTTTCTACAGTCAAAGGGCTTAGGTACTTACAATTATTTGTATCGACTTAGATGCCGCTGTGTACCCACTGTAGATGCCAACTGTAACGCAGCCTTTATGCACGCTCTCTTTTGTGCATTGCTTTGTGCACCGTTATTGTAACGGTAATAGCATTGTATAACCGTTGTAAGCATGCCAGCTTACAGCCATTATACGGTTACAGGGTATTAGGCAACGGCGATCGTCTGAGTGACTGCACTGAATGGAGGAAATGGCGCTGCCCACGCGACCAGCAACGACAACGGTGACGGTGACGGCGACAGCGACGGCGACGGCAGCTGCGACGCCCGCACGCTGCTTTTTCGGGGCCGCTGTCGTTGTTGCTGTTGTTGCTGCCGCTTTTTGTCGTCATACCTGCGCCTCTCCCTCTCTCTTTTTCACTCTCTTGCTCTCTGCCCGACGCTCGCTCCAATTCGCCGCAAGTGACGCGCGCAGTTAGCTGTTGCTGCTGCGTTCTGTGCTTATCAGGCAGCGTGGGCTTACTCTCGCATTCAGCTATCCGTCTCTGTCGCACGCCTTGTAAAGTCTCGGCAAAGTGAGGGCAAAATGAGCGAAAAATTCGCATTAATAAATCTGCATTAATGAAATTTATATTGTTTAGCCGACCATACAATATATCTAAATTTTTGGCAGCGATGCAAACAAATTCCATTAATTGCCGCTCAAATAGAGAAACATAAATTAGACTATAGATATAGATATATAGATTATATGCATGCATATGTATGTACACATACATATATATATATATATATATATATATATATATATGTGTGTATATACATACATATATGCTCTATGTACAGCGCCCCCACATTATCAGCAATGTGACAAGCTCTTTTACTTGCTCGCTTATTAG